GAGGAAGCGGATGTGGATACACAGCCCTGTTCTGAGGCTGCGGGAAGCACCAACGTTTGCGGAGTTGAGTCTTCTTGTCTGCGCATGCTCCGGTAGGCTGACCTGGGAAAGTGGTCTGAGCCAAGGGGAGCGCTCGTGTTTCTTCCTGCCCCCAGGAAAAGTAAAAGTAAAACAAACTCCCCTTTGAGTGCTAAAATCAAACCAGCTGATGCTGGTGACTTACAAGGTGAACTCACTGAAACGCAACCCAACCTTGCAGCCTTCTCCTGGGTTTCTGGGGCCAGAGTGACCCCGTAGGACAGAGTAGAACTGCCCCTTCGAGTTTCCGAAGCTGTAAAGCTGCCGGAGCAGAGAGCCTCCTCTTTCCCCCAAGGAATGCCTAGTGGGTTGGAACTGCTGACCTTGCCAGCCCAACTTGTCAACGCCGCCACCGCTGCCAGTGTTCCTGGAAGGTGAACTGAGATGGGCGTCATGGGAAGACAGGCCTGTGGGCCTCGTGTCATCATTAATTGTGCACCAGTGCCTTCTCCAGTGGCCCCTGCCCCTTCACACCTACTAGGATGAGATCTCCCAACATCTCAAAAATAGCAAGTGTTGGTGACATTGAGGAGGACTCTGACTTCCGTTGCCAGTGGAACTGTGAGCTGGTCGGTTAGCAGCAGCATGCTTGCCTTCCAAGAGGGAGGCTGGTGATGGGTTCTTGGCCAGGGCATGTCCTACAGAGCCACCGCCTGTCTATAAGTGGAGTCTTGCGTGGTCTGAGGATGCAGAACAGGCTTTGAGGGAGTTTCTGCACTAAGACAACCTAGGACGAAAGTCCTGGAGAGCTAACCCCTAAAGGTTAGCCTATGAAAAACCCCTGGGTCACAAAGGGCTGATACTCATGGTTGCCATGAGTTGGGGGCAAACTCGAAGGCAGCTAACAACAGCCTGGGGCTTTGGGTGGCTCATGCTTCTCCAAGCCCAGCAGGCAGTGGGGTGATGGCTTCTGTTCCTCTTCTCCCTGTGACAGTGCCCAGCTCGCCCATTGCTCTCAGCTGTCACTGCTGAGAACCTGTGGTGTCAGGCTCAGCCCAGCCTCATTTCCAGGCAGTGCCCTGGAGGGCAGTGTGGACTCGTGTGCTTCAGACATCAGCAGGTGTGTCTGGGACAAGCAATGCCCCTGGGCTGACACAGGGATGTTCTCACCTTCCCTGGCCCTCACTGGGTTGACTGGGGTTCTGTCTGGCCTCAAAGCGGCTGGCCACAGAACACCCTTACTTAACTCACTGCCTTCAAGTCAACGTGGACTCCTAGTGACCCGCAGGACAGGGTGGAATGGTCTCTGTGGGTTTCAGAAGCCGAACATCTCTACAGGAGCAGAAAGCCTCATCTTTCTCCTCTGGAGCACCTGGTGGGCTCAAACTGCTGACCTTGTGGTTAGCATCCCAACCTGTAGCCCACTACACCACCAGGGCTCCTTTAGTTCCTGCTGATCCCCAGGCCTGGTTCCCTCAGCCTCCAGCCAATGGATGTCAAGAATGCCCCAGAACCTTCTAATTAAGTTCCCCTTGGCTTTCTGTGTTCCCCACCACGACCCATGGAGTCCAATGGGTGCGGGGCCGGTACGAGACTAGCGGATGCTGTGTAGACAGAGATGGCAACCAAAGTGTGTTGTTCCCTTTGGTCGCCTCCGGACCTCCAGAGAAAGTGCCCACTTCCTACCAGACACACTATGAGATGCTGCCAACTAGATCCACTGCTGCCAGGCCCGGCCCTGGCTGCCCAGGTGGCACCTCTCCCCAACCAAGGGAGGAAACTAGAGCTTTTGCTGAATTCTCTTAGTGCCTCCCTACTTTCCCAGCCCTCTTTCTCAGACAAAAAGACCACCAGGTCAGAGACCGCTAACGCTTCTAATGGACAATAAATAGGCCATTTCAACGAGAAAAGAAAGACAGCATGGTTTCCCAGAGCCCGTTAAGCCTCAGCAGGGCATGACACTGGCAGAAACACACACACAAACACACACACACACACAATGTAAAATGCTCTTTAAAGGACCATTGAAAGGCAGTTTGGAACTAGGGAAACAGAAGATGCCTTCAAGGACTAATTCTAAGATGAACCTATTTGAAATACGATCAGACAACTGTCTTTCTACATCTTAAGAAAGGTAACATGCAGCTGGTCCATTGAGACTCTGCCACAGTGCGGGGAGGGCTGGTCAGGGAGCAGAGACACCGGAAGGGCAGTAAGTAGAATGGAGGGGCTCTGCCCTGCAGTCCGGGGCCACCAAGGGATAGGTGAGTGAACTCCCCACCCTACAGCCCATGGAGTTAGAAAAATAAAACGAACCATGGGATGTCAAGGTCTAGAACCCTGCGATCTGGTTTCAAAGGAGGAAGCGGCCACAGAGAGCAGGCCTGCTTCCTAATTTAAAATGAACATTTCCGGGTATCAAGGTGAAGGTCGCGCAAAGGAGCAATCACTTGAAAACAACCAGAAATACAAGTGAGCGGTGGCACGCTGGGTAAGCACTCAGATGCTCACCCAAAGGTTATTGGATCAAGCCCACCAGCCACTGGGAAGGAGCAAGATGATGTGGCAACTTGTTACAGAAGCTTTATTGCCTGGGAAACCCTAGGGGCAGTGGGTGGGCTGCACACTGAGCAGCTAACCACAAGGTTGGCAGTTCGAACCCCCCCAGCCGCTCCTCGGCGGGAGGAAGATGAGTCTGTGTCTGCACATGAAGAGTTACAGTCTCAGAAACCCACGGGGGCAGCTCTCTCCTCTGTCCTAAAGGGTCGCCATGAGCCGAAATCAACTCATATGGCAGTGAGTTTGCGAGGAGGGAGCCCTT